GTATTATTTGTATTGACTTCATTTTAATAAAGAGTAAACGGAAGATAGACCTTAAAATTATTGTAATATAATTTTTATTATAATAAACTACTTAGAAATAAAGAACTGCTGTAACTCATATATTAAATTCTCTTGACACTACAAAAATTATTTATTCAATCAATGTCATCGTGTATTATAAATAAATTAAAAATAAAAAAACGTATCGAACTGTTAAATATTCAAATATCATATATCATTTTGGGTGTCTCTTCAACTAATAAAAGTAAAACACTTAGAAAAAAAAAGATTCAACATATGAACATTATAATATCCTATGATCTAAAATAAAAATGATAATGAAAAATAATATCCATAATAATAGCATGAAATCTTGAATTAAATTAAATAATTAAAATAATATTTTAGTAAATATTTTATGTATACAAATTCGCGTTGTATGTAACAAGAATGTTTGAATACTAGAAATATCACATTTTTTGTTCTCAAATTTTTTCAACATAAATGTACAATATAATTATAAAATGTATGTAGTAAATTATTTGTGTAAAAATGATTATAATTATCACTAAAATATTATTTTCAATTAGTAGATAGTTTAATTAAAGATTTAATATTGTTATTATATAAAAAATTATTTACTTTGAGATTGTTCAATTTACCTCCAAAATTATTTGGAATATATTTATATTCGTCAAAATATTTAAGCTAAATGAACTAATTCTTATTTAAATATGTGTACATTAGCATGCGCGCGCGCGTGTGCGGTAATATAGTTCAGAATTAGATAAATATATATATATATATATATATATATATATATATATATATATATATATATATATACATAATATTTAATATATAATATATATTAGATTTGCAGCTTACTTACTATACCAAGAGTATATCAAGACTGTTAATTTGATATTCAGAAAATAAATCGATACACGGTGTAAAATTAATAATACATACAGTGATAGTGAGACAAACTGAGAGAGGAAGCCATTGATACTATAAATTACAAAATATATAACTTATTTTATATAGGAATACTGACATAAGTTAATTAAAGCATGTCAGCATTTCTTTGATTTGAAGCTATATATAACAACTTATATATAAATTATATAAAAAAAATTTTATATATAAAGTATAATAAATAATAGTAAATATTACAAGTAGACTGAAAGGCCTTAATTATGAACTGTGGCAGCTGGCTTTTGTCACACATCTTTTTATCACTTTTTATCAATTTTGGCCATTTATTAACAGTATAATAACTACTATTAAAGATCATAAAATATTCTTCAAACCCAGAGAATGGCACTAATAAACAAGTTGAGAAAGTTAGTACTTATGGAACTGAATGTTGTTTTCATAATTATATTTGATTTTTAATAAATAAAGAATATGCTATTCATCTACATCATAAAATTTTTATTCCCCGTTTTCATTAAAAAACATTTATATTAAACTTCAAAATATATTTCTAACCAAATAATTATGATTGAAGTTTGCAAGCATATTACGTATTAAAATATTTAGAATGGATCTATAATACAATGACAATACGTTAAAATAATAAATTATAAATACTTTAGTACTTATATTTTTAAAGATTATAAATTTTTAAATAATGTAATTTTATTACCATATCGTTCAACGCTATGTTTCTTTTTAATCTAAAGTAATTTTTTATTTTTTATTCATGTGAAACAAATAATGCTTACTTATTATATTTATTAAATATAAATATTATATTTGAACCTAATTGTTCAATGTGGTTTATAATTATAAATTGTATATTATGTATATCAACATTTATTAGTATCATATAAATACGAGAAAAAAAATATAAAACGAATGACGTTTTTGACTATTGCTCTATGAATAAATCAAATAGTTATCTTTGCAAATTCAATAAATAAGTACATACAAATTTCTTAGAAATTTGCTAATTACAACATACAGCTCTGCTTAAAAATATTGTTATAACAAATAAAGATAAATTATAACAAATAAATACTCTGTTGAATTTTTTAATTAATGTTCAATTATTTCACTTGAAAATAATATGGAATTTTCATAAAACTTTCATAAAATGTATAATATTAAATATTTTTAATTAAATAATATATTCACGCTGAAAATCTTAAAATGTTATTTTTAAAAGATATTTATACCAGTTTGACAAACTTGATATAAAAAATGTTATATACGCACAGAATTATTTGACTACCTTTATATATAAAAAAGCGAAAGATGAAGATCAAGCATTTTATTTTGGCAGATATCATAAACATAGTTATTTAAACTCAAATTCGGTCGAATAGAAAAATAAAAAATTACTTAGGCAACGTTAGACGATGAGGTTCATTGATATAAGTAATTAAAGAAATAAATAAACATAATTATTAGTTCATTCAAAAATATTTTACCAAACAAGAGTTTAATAGAATAAATTATTAAGAAAATTATAATCATTCATACAAAATAATATATTAGCATTATAATAGATTATAAAATATTACGATTTATGTGTTAAGTAATATATTTGTACATAAATTTATCTACAAATATAAATTTAAAATGAAAAAGTAACCATCGTAAAAAGAAGGTTGTTTTTACGATTAATTTGAATGAATTGAATTCCATAATAACTCAGCATGTAAATATTAATACGTGTGAATCAACTCAAGTAATTACACTGCATATATAGGCTCAAATGTATATGGTTATTCTTACCCATATGAATTATCTAGTGAAAATCATAGTATGCATATTATTTTGTTAATCGAATTAACGAACTCTCAAAAATAAATCATCTTGAAACGAAATTTTGAATGTTGTTTGAATTGAATAAAAAATAATAACATAATTGTAGTAATGAATAAAATAAGATTATATGAAAAATCTATGAAATATATTTTGGCTATACATTAGCTGCTTATAAAATATTTAGATTTAGTACAATTAGTATTTGCAAGAAAATTATTAAAATTTTAATGGAATTTTTAATATAGATATTTATATAAAATTAACTCTTGATCTATCCATTAACAACCGATCTCGTTACTTAATGAGATATTGATTTCAAAACATAAAAAAAATTCAAGCTCATAATTCAGTACGGCATCCTTCTATCTAGTAAAAATTCATGATAAAAAATAAAAATTAATAAAATATAAATATTAAAAATAAATGAAATTGATTCGATAATATATTGAAAACATGGTATTTATATTTCTATCATACTTTAGAACTATATATTTCTAATAATTGATTATTACAGAACATTTTATTTAATTTGTAAGTATAGAATATTGTCAATATTAGATAATACAATTTTTTTTCAGTAAATAATATAAAATAACTGCACGTATTTAAGATCATTCTATACTTCTAATAAATATTCTCTATTTAAATATTATCTGTAGAAACATAAAATATTTCCATTATAAATATATATATATATATATATATTCTTTTCCATTATATAAAATGAACAATGTTTATATTACACATTTTTTATTTGAATGAAAATAACATTTTTACTAAGAAGTATATTCTTGTATTATTATGAATTTAATATAATTATATACTATAATAATTTTTTAAAAAGTATTAAAAAGAATAATTACAAATTATCGTTTTAAATTAATTTATTTTTAAATAATATTAACTTTTCAAATACTTATATATTGCAATGTAAATGTATAAATACAAAATAAATTGTAAAATAAAAACTTTTAATTTATGATCCGTAACAAATTAACGTAAATGTTAAAACAATAAAATGCTGCCATCATTCTTGAATAATTTTGTAAAATTATATAAATTAGAATTACTGATTTTATAAAATAATAATTTCACTATATTATTTATTGTTAATTCACTATTAATTTATGTATCCATAGATGTAATTTACAAGTATATTATTCTCTAGCCTTATTATTTATTATTTTATACATTAAACTTAGCAAAGTTTTTAATCAAGAAAATACTTTTTTTAATATAAGGTTATTAAAAAATAAGTAATATTTGACGAAATAAGTAAAAGATCTTATTAATTTAGCAATATGAAAAACGAATAAGGTGCATAAATTATCTATTATTCTTCAAGTGTTCATTTTTTTTCTTTTATTTTGTTTCCTTCGGCAATTGGACATTTGCGTCTATCCGTGGATGTCTCTGATTCGCTCCAAATATCAATTTCTTTATAAACTAATCTACAAAATCCACGTCGTGGCATCATCATTTTATCATAGTATAGTACTTACAAAATATTCGGAGTGATACCTAAAAAAAAGGATAATTACATGCTTACTTGCTGTCATACCCGGCACTAGTGTTTTGAGGTTAATTATAGAAAATTTAAGCGTAGAAGTATAATTAATAATATCTTTGAATCAAAAATTCATATAGAGCTTATTAAAAAAATTGTAATTCGAAGTATTGTATATATTTTAACAATTGTTATATATATATAAGTGCAATTTGTAAATTAAAAAAATTATTATATAATTGTATTTAATGGAATTTATCGTTCTTGCTAAGAATTATTCCAGTGAAATATAGAAACAAAATTTTTTTTAAAAATTTTATTTTATAAATTTGCATACATTCATATATTTCATTCATATATTGCATTCACCCCATATATTTTCTAATAACAATGTGATAAAAATAATAATAATAAGAAATAAACATAAGAAATAATACATTTACTACAATGTTGCAAATAATTACCTATTAACATAAAATTATGAATAATATCTAACATAATGCATATCAGTTTTACATAATTTTTACAAATATTTTAGATAGTCCTAATTTTGAAGTTTTTATAAAATATTACATTAATAAAATATGGAAAATATAAAATGCATAATTATTTACCCATTTAAAACACTTTTCATAATATTGATTAATTGAAACATTGAAATACTCTTACGTTTTTATTGAAAAATTTGACATAATCCATAACTCTTGACTTTTTCAGCTTTTCAGAACGCAACATACATAAGAAAGTTATAATTTGTTTTTCCAAAATTTTAATATTTATATACCAGGAACAAAACCCAATTAAACATACTGCAGCTAATAGCTTTTTTTTATTCAAAATCCATAAAATAGAATGTGGAACATATTTATAACAAGTTTCTTTACTTTTGTTGCGATCTGCATAAAAATGAAACTTTCAGCAGCAGATGACTGTAAAGGGTGTGTTCAGCTTGATTCATATTCATTTGATAAGGTAATATGCTAATATTATTAAATAATTTTTCACTTTTAATTACATTATTTAACTTTCTATAGTTTTTATTTAAATTAATTATAACATAATTTTGATCTATTTTTATCACAATAAATATTGTTATTAAACTTTAATAATTCTAGAAAAGCTGAAGAATAATTATTACTGTGCTTAAACATTATTAATAAAGTTTCATAATTCTAAAACAATGAAAAAAGTTAATTTTTATAAAATAAAAAATCTTAACTTAATAGTATTTGCAGAAAAAAATTAATATTTAAAAAGAAATTTAATTTTGTAAATACCATTATGAAGCTAATTGAAATAAATTGTTGTTCCGAATTATTGATTCGATAATAATTTCTAAGTTTATAAGTAGTTGAATTACAAATTTTTAATGATTCAGTAAATCTTTCAATAAGATAAACATTTATTTTAATTTAATATTATTTAATTATATTTGATAGTATTTATTATTTTATTTACTCTTATCCATAAAATAAATTAAAATATTTGTGGGTTATATTCAATCACTCATATGTAAATATTTATTTTTATAAATTCATTTGTATGACTAATAATAAATTTTACTTTCTTACAAATATTTATTGACTCATTGATTTAAAAATAATCATATTGATATAATAATTAACATTTCATATTCTATCTTCAATTTAGAAAATTCTTTTTATAATAAAATATTTTCTTTAAATACTAACACTCCACTCGACACAGTAATTAACAAGGTTATTATACCGTATGTCACATTACTACCAAATAACTGTATTTGCATTCATATTTTGCAAAACTATTCATGGATTTTCGAATTTCAAATTTTAGTTTATTTTTTATTTTTTGATTTATTTTCAATGCCTATAAACATATAAACAAAGAACTCACTCAAGATAACAAATATTTTCTATATAATTGTATATATATATATATATATATATATATATTTCTATATAATTTTCTATATAATTGGCTTATTTGATTTATAACAGTTTGTTACCATTTTTGCATAAAAATATTTCACAAATATAGTGTATAAAAACTTGTTATTTAAAATGCAATAATAATAATATGATTATGAATAATATGTATAATTTTTTTTTTTTAATTAAAATTTCATGCATTTATATAATACTAAGTAATATTGCTGTAATAAAGTAGGTATAAATATATGTACAAATACATTAATATCTAGTTGTCTATATTTAATTATAAATACAAATAAAAGTTGATTTATATAATAAAAAATATTATTAATAAAGTTTATATTACATTTTCACTAACTAAATGTTGTTTTTATATGATTGTTTTATTAAGAACATAGCTTCATGTTTCAGATTATTCCCAAATTTAAAGCTGCCATTGTAAAATTCGATGTTGCATTTCCATACGGCGAGAAGCATGAAGAATTTGCAAAAGTTGCTTTTACTACGAGAGATTCATTCGATCTTTTAGTTGCAGAAGTTGGAGTAAAAGATTTTGGCAATAAAGATAATTCTGATATAGCCGATCGTTTTAATATTAAAAAAGACGACTACCCTGTTGTTCTACTTTTTATACAAGGGAAAACAGAACCTCATCGATTTATTATTAAGAAAGATACAGAATTTACTGCTGATAATATCAAGAGATTTATAAAAACAAAATCTGGAGTATATTTAGGACTACCTGGATGTGTTGAAAAATTAGATAGATTAGCTGATCAATTCAAAACGTCTAACGATAAAGATAGACAAGTTCATTTATTTTTTAATAATTTAATATTTAAAAATAAATATGAAAGATATTCTTAATTAATTTATTACATTTATATTTCAGGAAATTTTAAATAAGGCCAAAGTTTTCCAAGAAACTCTACCAGAAGAACATCGTACAGCTGCAAAAGTCTATGTAAAAACAATGGAAAAAATCATGGAACGCGGAGATATATTTGTTCAAACAGAACAAACTAGAATAGAAGGATTACTAAAGGGTAAATTGTCAAATGATAAAAAACGATCGATGGAAGAAAGAAGAAACATTTTACATTCTTTTACACGTAGAGACGAATTATAAATTATAATAGAAAAAAACATAAATGCATTTGATAGGATTTAATAACTATTGATTTTGCAAAAATTTTAGAACCAAAAAATACGATTTTCAAAAAATCGTATATTATTTATTTTTATTCAGATACTTTTGTTTTATTATTAAATAATATCAGTATTTTAAAATAATTTTCGAAGAATATATTTTATTAAAAGTCAGTTTTAGCACATTTACTGGAAATAGAATAAAATATAATTAGGCCTCTATACTAAAATACTTTTATATTATATGACTATATTAAAACAAAATTTTCTTAAGAAATATTTTATTACCAAATAACAATTTTTTTCTTTTGTATTACAATATTTTTTATAATAAAGATAAATTTAAAAACAATTTAATAATCTAAAATGAAAAAATTGCTTAATAAACTATTATTAAAAAATATTTTAAAAATTGGAAGAAAATTAAATTTAATTTACATTAAATTAAAATTACAATTAAATGTTCGATATATAGCTATATTTCATATTTTATAAATTACAATATAATAATATTGAAATATGTTTAAGTGAAACTATGTTGTTTCAAATGTATTTTTATATGTGGAATATTTAAATTGATTATAAAATTTAACTTTTTAAATATTAATTATTTGAAACAATAAAATATCAAAATATTAAAGTAATAAATTAATTTAAACTTAAAATAATTTTATAATAAATTATATATAGTACAATTATAAATAATTTCAATCAATTCATTTAGAAAGTATTAACTTATTGTTCTGCCTTTATTATATATGTTCATTAGCAGACCACCAAAAAAACTAAAAATTTTTATCATTCAACAATACAATGGAATGAAAATACAAAAATGTTTTAAATTACAAAATATGATCGCATTTATTTTTATATTTTTTTATAATTGTACAGTATTATTAAATTTGTAGGTAAATGATCACTAGCCAGTGAAAATTGTTTTTTCTATTTAAAGTATTCTTGTTTAAAAATCACAGATGTCAAATGCAATATCGGTATAATTGATTATATAGATAGTTAAAGATTCAGCATACAAATTTATAACTAATAATTTTCATGCAATAAAAATTTGTAGAATGATTTTAATCAATCATTTAAAATGCTAATTTATTTTACATTAGCTTTTTTTTAATATTTGTGCACATTGGCAGGAATGTTATAATTCCATGTATTGGAATTTTTAGTCTGTAGTATTACTAATCAATTTTTTTTCTAATATAAAATTTACTTTTGTTCTTGAACTTTTAAATTTTCAAGATCTGTTGTCACATCTGAAGTTTTTGTTAATTCAACTTTATCCTGTTTATCTTCTATTTTAGAGCTTGTAGAAGTTATTTCTGTATCTTGTTTTATAATTTTTGATTCTTCTTCACTATCAGAGCAACTAATCTCAGTTTCACTTTCATCTATATCAGGTTTTCCAGAATAAGCTTCACATTCAGATTCAACAATCTTTTTTGCTTTATCAAAAGTCTCTTTCCACAATTTTGCATCTTTGAAAAACAATAAAAAGAATTAGTTACAATAAGTATTAAAAGTAAAATATAATCTAATTTATCATGTTAGTTACTTTCTACATTAGCAAATCTAATTGCAAGTAATTGAGGTTTGGGTTGCTCATCTGCAAAATCAGCAAGAGCACTCCATACCCAAGCACGATCACTGCCACAGTTTGGATTTAGTTCCATCCAAGGCCACACAAAATGGTTTGCACATATTTTTAATGTCTTATCCCGACGCATTACAATCCTAACTGTATTTTTGGTTTTGTGTCTAAGAAGTTTAACTTCACCAGTTCCTCTTTCTTTCCATTCTGCAGGACTATCAGTTGTATCATAACGATACAGCTTTGCTCTCCTGTATTTTAATAATGTAATAAATAACTGTATAGATATAATTTTGATTTTTATAATTTTATTACAATAAAATATATGAAATATAGATATGGAAAATATGTAAAAATAGTTAAATGAACAAATATTAGATTTAAAAAGATTTTATAATTATTAATACAAGCAGTTATCTAAAAATTTTGTTTACTATAATATATATATTTAAAAATTATAAGATTACAATTTTATCATTTCATGTTCTTCTTCTTCGTTTGTTGATACCTCAACTAGAGGAAGTTGAATTATTGGCTCGAAATGGACTTCTATCGGTGGTGAATTTGAAGGAGATTCTGCAAGAGCAACTTCTTCACTATTGCCATTCTCAGATATCCGTTGTCCATTAATCTAAAACAATTGTCAAGTAAAATAAAAACAATCTTTATTACAACATTCTAAATGTTTATGTTAAACTTTTATATAATTTATGAAAATTAATTTAGCACTGATTTCTCGGTTGATTTCTTAATTTGGTTAAACAATAAACAAACTTCAGAATTCAAATTGTTGCAACCAAAAAACTATTATAACCTAATTTCTTTGCTTTCAATTAAAATATTACAAAAACAAATAAAATCTAGAATTGCGAAAATATTTAATACTCACTCCTAATTCAGGCATTTTATTGTTAAAATGTTAAATCCACGTTTTACTAAACGCAATAATTAATATATTTAATTAACGGCTTAACAACTTTTCCAAATCGAACGAAGCTAAGCCTTAAGGCTTACAAGTTGATGTTCAAACCAAAGATATAAAGTAACGGAAAAACGAAATGTAACTATATGTGAAGTAAGTTGCATTAATTGAACCGTTAGCTTACCTCGAATTTAAAAAGCGGTAGTTTTCAAAATGTATAGTTGTAATTTATAATGTAAAGAATAATTAGTGAACTCACGTATTAACTATATTTATTCTTCAATTTATAAATATACGAAATTTTTTATAATATAAAGTATTTATAATAATATATACCTGGTTATGGTATATTCAATTTATTTTATTTTGACCAGAAAATTATTTGTTAATAAAATTTATTAATTAAATTAAATAATGATTAATTTATTTTCAATACTTTTTATATGAATTTTTTGTATTATTTCTGAATAATCATTTGTTGAGAAAATTTATTAGTTGAATTATATAATTATTATAATTTTATTGTATTATATAATAGTATAATTTGATATATCAAAAATCATCTTGTTACAAATTTATGTTTTATAATAATGTATTAAAATTAAAAATTGCAATATATTTCACAAGATAAGAATAATTATAGTGAATTTATATTATTTATTTAGCTATTTATATTTTCAAAATTAATATTTTTTTAGAAGAAATTTTTAATATCGTAATATGATATAAATATATGTATATTATAAGCATTAAATTTTAAATAAATCATTTCTTTCATTTATTAGGAATCTTAGACGAAAGATTTATAATGTATGGAAATTTTATTTTATTTATTAAATTTGTATGAACCCCATAAATTATATTATTTCTACAGGTTACTTGGATATCAATTTACCATTTACTTTTATTATTTTCAATAAAATCTTTTTTTAATACTACAATTAAAATTGTTAATAAAAAATCATATATTCATATATAATTTTATAAATTCTAAATTATTTACAGGGTTAATTATTTGTAATTATTTTAATTGATTTAGAACATATAAAACACAAAATTAATTTTTATACAGGTATATTTAATTATAGACAATATGGTAATTATCATATGCAATTATTATAATTAGGACATCTCTTATTTTAATATTTAGTATATTTCATGATTAATAAATAACTGAAAGTTATTTAAAAGAAATAAAAGTCATATAGTTATAGTAAATAAATAATTAATGAAACTCGGTTGTTATTCTAATAAGACCTATGATTTCAGATAAGAATAATACAATAAAATTTGTGCAAATAAGCAATATTTTTTGTAAATTTTAAATTAAATATTATATTCAAAAAAAATCTATCATATACTAACAAATATTTATAATAAAAATATTCTGAAATTCAACAAAACATTGAACCAATTAATTGTTAAATTCTGGTTATTATATCTAAATTAAAAGCTATTTTGTTCTTAAAACTTTTTAAAAATAGGAAAATGTCAAAATGCTTTGAGATAGTAAAGCTAGTCTATAATTTGTTAACTCTATATACTATTATGTCACGTGTAAACTTATCTTTTCCCGATGATCGTGCGCATGAAAATCTACCCGCATATACGATGAACGACTACAGGAATTTTACTACAGTTGTGATACACCGACATCATGACAACTGGAGGGGGAAGACAGAATGTGTCCAACCGGCTTCTCTTTTACTCTTGCGCAAGTCACTTTTGGTAGGAAAGGAGTTGATACAAAAAGGAAAACGACAGCTCTCAGGCGTTTCTTTACGTATGCATGCATAACGTGTTTGTATGCGCGCGTCGATGCTTGTAGTCCCACGGCAGCCATTGCAAATACCTTGTTTCATGACGGTTTGCTTCACGACACTAAGTGAATAAAGATAGAAAGTATTTTACCATCAGGCGATACGAAACGAAATTGCGCGAAGCTAAAAACGTACGAACGAAGCAAGCACATTGCTCTGTCAACCTTGTAACCCGTACAGCACCACTTCACTGTACAATTTTTAGCGCACGCGCGAGCCTTAAAGCATCGGCGACGCCGCTGCCGTAGTAAGTAGCCACGACGTCGCGTAATATAACATATACATAGCACGCGGAAAGAGAAGACCGCTTACCGCTCCAAGTCGAACAGAAAACGCCCGACGAAGTAGTCTTATTTTTTCGCGCGCGGTACTGCGGCTTCTAGGCAAGGGCGTGTATATGTGTGTATGCCTTACGTTTGTGTCTGCTTCGACGCAAAGGCGAGTATCGTTAATCCCCAGGACACGCAGAATAATTTCACCAACAGTTCGGCCCGATGTCTGAAACCGACCTACTCAACATAGACAACGTAATAGCGCGACTCTTAGAAGGTAAATTTCGATTATTCTAGGCTAATGTTAAGATATACACTTTTAAAATATAGCAACAAGGGCCGTGGATAAGCTATTATTTGACATTCGTATTCATCTTCTTGCAATTTCTTATTTCTTCTACAGATTAATATCAAGTGCATAGCATATCTGCATCACACATTCCGTTTTATTAAAGTGAATTCTCCAACATCGCGATTATATTTTGCCCATTGCACGCGCGCTCCATCTTTATCTGACTATGTTCTACAAAGGTATTCCTCTTTCTCTCTCTCTGTCTCGCTCTATCTCTCCGCCCCTAATCATGCACCGTTCATCTTGTGTTTTATGTTTTTCACTATTATTTTTGACACTTACAATATTTCTTTTAGTTCGTCATAATCGTCGAAATTGACGAATAAAATGTGTCAAGGTCATTTACAGCCCTTGAGAAGTTTAACACTTTCTATCTGAAATATAAGAACTACATGAATAGTTACGCAATTTTCTCATTTTTTTAACAAGGGTTAAAAATTTAGGTAAACCAATCACGTTCCTACTTCTGCTTTTCTTTATACTTTTTACAATTTCTATTGCTTGTTGAAGCAATTATTATTAAAATTATACACTGGTATTTAAGTTAAAATAACGTATGTAAACAGTTTTTTCGTACCAAAAAACAGCTAATAAAATACTTGATTGATATTACTCTTTGGTTATTTAATATGTTCTTTTTTGTATATAATGCAATTGTATATTTTAAAACATGTTCGATCCAATAAACTAAAACAACTAATAATTTATTTAATGGAATTTTAGTAATTGTCAAAAGAAAATCAAATATAAAATATAAATTCTTCTATAATGAAAAAAATTCATATAGGTAATTAATGTGTATTTTATCATTTTATCAAATTAATGATAAATAATTAAAATATTATGTCTGAATGATTTTAAAAATTTATTAATTCTTGAAGTTCCAATATATTTATTTTAAGAAAATAATTGTACAATAATTTGTAATCAATTATGATATAATTTTAAACTTATAAATTTGAAATTAAAATTTACTTAAAAACTTTAAATATAGACAATAATATACCAAAAAAAAATTTTAATATAATCTTAAAATTATAAATTTGTTTGAAATAGAAATAATATTGAAATTGTATAAATTAATTGCTTTTTATACATTAAAAATAATATAATATATTTATTCGTTCAATTTTTAAATTTTGATATATAAATTAAGTTTCAAATTATTTTTATACCAAAACATTGTGTAGAGTAAGATCGATTTATAAAAGAAAATAAATACATATATTTATATACATAGATATTAAAATATATATGTAATATTTAATAATCATGAAATTTATCAATCTCAATGAAATATTTATTAATAAACATTTGACATTTTAAAGGTTATAACAAATATTTAATAAATTCCATTATCATGTAATCTTAATATAAATAAATTAAAAATTTTGAAAGTTACTTTAATTTATTAGTAATAATAATATAAAAAAATAATATAAGTAATATTTAAATAATAAAAATAATAGAAATCATATTTTTAATAATGCACAATACAATAATTTATCTTTTAAATTTTTTAATTAATTAAATTTGAAATGTTTATTATTTTGAATATAGTATTGAATATTATATTAAAATATATAGATTATTTTTTTAAACTTTAAAGTTTATTTTATTTTAATCTACAAATAATGTTTATGTAACATAATTTGTTTTAATTATAACATTTTTTATTTCCTAATGTAAGGTTAATACAATTAATGTTTATAATTGAAATACTTGAATATAAAATTTATCTATAATCTAAAATATTTTGTAATTCATTTCTTCTAAATTAAAATTGTGATGAATAATTAGAATAATCAAAATTGTATTAAAATAGTTTAAAAAATATTGATATCTTACACTCTATATATATATAATTTTGATTATTCTAATTATTCATCACAATTTTAACATATATATGTATATTATATATATATATATATATATATATATATATATATATATATATATATAAGAGTAAATTGTCTTTTAAATTAGTTTGAAATAAAGACATTGATTTTTCATTTAGTCCGAGGAAACCGACCAGGCAAAAATGTTCAGTTGACAGAAGCAGAAATACGAGGACTTTGCCTCAAATCTCGTGAAATTTTTCTATCACAACCCATTCTTTTGGAACTTGAGGCACCATTAAAAATATGTGGTAAATTAGTATATATTAATAATTAAGCTTGATTAAATTAATATTAAAAATGATTGTCAATTTTTTTTTTACAACAGCGATATATATCTCGAAACAGCTTTTATGAATACATATTTTTGAAAATTTTATTACAAATTATAATTTATAATCTATAATAAACTATATATTTTAGTTTCTTTTAATATTTGTAAAATTTATTCATAACAGAAAATTATTGTATTATATTTATAGGTGATATTCATGGACAATATTATGATCTGCTTCGATTATTTGAGTATGGTGGATTCCCTCCAGAAAGTAATTACTTATTTCTAGGTGATTATGTTGATAGAGGAAAGCAGTCTTTAGAAACAATTTGCCTTCTTCTTGCTTATAAAATCAAGTACCCAGAAAATTTCTTCTTACTTAGAGGAAATCATGAGTGTGCATCAATCAATAGGATATATGGATTTTACGATGAATGTAATTAAATTTACTTTTATACAATTTTTGTATGAGATATACAAACAAAAAATAATATTCAATTACTAAAGAATATAAATTGATATATTTGATATGAAATCTGTTTATTTAAAAAATTGGCACTACTATTTTAAAAATAGAATAATAATGCTTCTAGATGCTAATAGATGATACCTTCAAATTGAAGATTATGCATTTACAATATTTTTTATAAATGTTAATAGAAATTTTTAAAATCCTGATAGTAGAATAATTTTAATTAAAAACCTTGTTTACTACTTTTAAAAATGGGATAAAAATTTATGATGTCATTATATTTACTTGCTTAAATTAATTGTTTGTAATGTAAAAAATTGGTTAGTTCTTATTACTTTTTAAAAAACAAGACATATTTAATAAAAAGGCACATTTCTTATATATTTAAATGTATTTTATGAATTTTCCATTTATCTAATTTGAAGGTAAACGTCGTTACAACATTAAACTATGGAAAACATTCACAGACTGCTTTAATTGCTTACCAGTGGCAGCAATAGTTGATGAAAAGATTTTTTGTTGTCATGGAGGTTTGAGTCCTGATCTTCAGAGTATGGAACAAATTAGACGTATTATGCGGCCTACTGATGTACCTGATCAGGGTTTGCTTTGCGATCTTCTATGGTCAGATCCTGACAAGGATACAATGGGTTGGGGAGAAAATGATCGTGGTGTCTCATTTACTTTTGGTGCAGAGGTCGTAGCCAAATTCCTTCATAAACATGATTTTGACCTTATTTGTCGTGCCCATCAGGTAGAATTGATTTTCAAATAATAAATTTTTTTCGTAACAATCTAATTTAAGTTATATATGCATTGAAAATATGATCATACTTTGGTAAATTAAATTTGTCAAAATAAATTAATAGTTTTTTATTTACAATATAAAAGTTATTAAAACAATTATTCTAATTTTTTATTTTATTTATATAAATTTTCCTGTATTAAAAATGTATGTTCGAAAATTTATTAGAATATAATTTACACATTTGTGTAAAAATATGTTTTTTGTATATAATCACAAAAAAAATTTTTATTTTTCTAATAAAATTTTTCTTTCACACAATTCACTTTATTGCAATTATTTTTGTTTTTTATTTTTATAAATGAATTGTTTTTATAATGATTACTTTAATCATATATATGTAATTAAAAGTTTAGGAAATAGACAATTTGATCAATTTACTTTACTATACGTATTTTACTAATTTACTTTACTATACGTATTACTATTCATACTTTACTTGTACGTTATTCGACACTTTTGTTTCCACAGGTGGTCGAAGACGGCTACGAGTTTTTTGCAAAAAGGCAACTAGTGACATTGTTTTCGGCCCCAAATTATTGCGGTGAGTTCGACAACGCGGGTGCCATGATGTCAGTAGACGAGACATTAATGTGCAGTTTTCAAATCCTAAAACCCGCTGATAAAAGGAAATTTACATATGGAGGTTTGAATGCAGGGCGACCAGTTACGCCGCCTCGTGGTGCCAACAATAAAAATAAAAAGAAGTGAAACGCGCAACTGGATATCATGAGACTGCGACGTATAGGATTTTAAGCATCTTTCCAACTACAATTCCACCATCCCCTTCTTAAATCCTACCATCTCCTAAGACTCTTTAGTCCTTGTAAGAAAGAGTAATAAAAACTACTACTACGAGTACATTTATAAAAGAAAAAAAGATGAAAACACCTGCGCGAAGCCATCCATGAAAGCAATGATATGCAAAAATTACTTCTAAAGAAACATTGCATTTATCTTTTAGAGCTTTGGTATATTATTGACATTTATATTTTAATTTTTCAATTGAATTTTTATCAAATTTAACGAAGAAACGGAAAATACGATGACGTAAACGTTTTTACGGAAAATGTACTTTATTTTTGGCTCATATTTGAATGGGTGAACTTCAGAAACGGTAATGAAACGTTTAAATAAAACGTGATCAAATAATATCTATCATATAAAAACATACAAATATAAAATCCAATTTCTAAAGCTAAAAGGCTGTTGTATAATTGTCTACTTAAATAATAATAGGCATTATATGTAAAAAAAAGTCTTTTGGACCTTAAATATAAATATTTGATTTATAATTCTTTTTATTTAATTATATAAACACTATTTTAACAAAAATAAAATAAGCGGCGCAATAGTCTCTTTTTCAACACCGCTTTTGTTAAGTAAATAAATAAATGAATAGAAAAGCCACTTGTTTTTACATTTTTCTTTTGTTATCGATAAAAAACATAAATGTCATTGTAGCCGTTCTGAATATCAAGTTTTTAAAGCTCTATTGATTTACTTATACAAACTCTGGAGGAACAAAAATTCCACAGCAACAATTATCCTGCGCATACATAAGTAATTTGTAATAAAACAATAAAGGCGTCTTTATAATGCGGCGACGCATTTGTTTTTCCGATTCCAATTGATATATATATATATATGCATGTATACATGAAAATAGGAACAAAGATTGAAATTCGACTTTCTCAAATTTTTGGAAACTTATTTATTTCAAAAACAATTTTATAAAAATATATATCAAGGGATAATTAATACATGCTGTATACCCACATCCTATTACCGTAAATAAAACTAAAGATCGATCATTTTCAAAATAACATATTTGTTTCCTGGCACCATAAATTAATTTAATTTATGGTAATGGAAAGATTTTATTCATACTTGTCAAAATGCATGATATATTTCCTAGGCAATAATATAACACGTTTAAAAATATGTCATGATTATCTTATCAATATAATTAGAAAAACCATATAGTGTTATAATGTAGAATGGAATATGATAAATAATGTATTGACTAATTGAATATAATTTTTTCTTTTGAACGAAAAAGGATTGACATCAGTGTAGACTTAATAAATTTATTAAAATAGAGTTTAATGAAAGGCCAACAAAGGAAAATTTCAAATTTAACGTTTTTAGTAGAAAAAAATGTGATAAATGCAATAATTGTGTCTGGACTAAAATATTCAAAATGTATTATAACCCATAAGAAAGAAGAATAGTTTAAATAAAATGTCTTTAAAAGACATTTTTCTTACTTGTCACTTCATTATTTTCAATGTATTTAGTTAAGATTTTCAAGAATGCTTCTTTACAATGTTATAAAATTTCAGATTCTTTTTAAAGTTTTTAATGTTCATTTGTATCTTAAATAATGAAAAAGTGTAAAATAATTATTGAGTGTAATGAAAAATTAAAATGAATTTTGTTCTATCACATATACCAATAAACACAAATTCTCATATAAATCGTATAACAAATGAAGGGAATCTTAAAGTTCGACACAGTAAATAATTTTCTTTTCATTATTTTAAAAAACTAAAAATTGAATAAGAATAATTTATCATAATTCATTGTTCAATATTCAAAGAATATACTATTAAAATCGAATTCGGTAATTCCCATCGTTGTCTAAACTTTTCATATTTAATACAAAAAAAGAAATTTATCTTTGTATCTAACGATAATAAAAAATAAGCACTTGCGTTTTCCCTAAACATTGTAGAAGGTAGTTTCATTTTCACTAACGACGAATAGATATAAGTCCAACTAACAATTCACTTAACACTTTAATCACGATCCAAACCATTGTACATTTTTTTTCTAAATAAAATTTCGTCACAAAATCCTGCCAATTTTAATTATTATATAAAACATTTTATAAAAGTGAAGTGTGAGTTAAAATATATTCAAAACAAGATTATTATTTATCGACTTAAACTTGAGCTGATTAAACAAAATCTTTGTATATAAATCAAGAATATTTAATCAAATAAATCTTGTGAATTCATGAACTTGATAAACAAATTTTAAAACAATTCAATCCTTAAATGTTTTCAATAATTAAAATCTAAATGCAATTTGATTAATCAGCGTTTTCATTTTTCCCATCCTGATAATACAATACATACATAACAAGTGTTCATTTAACAATTAAAAAGTCAATTTATTTTGTACAACAGCGTTAAAATAAATTAGAAATTAATAATTTACTCCAACAAACTCTATAATACATCTACTTATAAATTTAAATTACTAGGCTTAATCAATATTCAATTACGCACTAATAAATAATTAAATATAAAAATTTTCTTATGAAAACTATCAAAAGGTACTTTAAAAGTATTATATTTTTATAAGACCATAAAAATATTCTATTAGAACTTTTAAAAAATTTTCTAAATTATGTTTCAAAATGATGGTTAATGTTAAATATTAAAAGTTAGGCATTGATATATATAATTTTAATATTATTTTGACGAATGTTAAATATTTTTGTATATCAAACAAATTATTTTACAGGAATTATACATTTTTATTTATAGAAATTTTATTTCGTAGAATTTGTATAATTTATTATTAAATAATTTAATTTTCCTAAATTAATCCGTGAAACTATATAATTTTAACAAATGATTATCTTAATAATTTAGCGAGAAAGAATTTAAAACATGCTAGTTTTTATTTGTATCTTCTATTTAAATAAATTACGTGGAATTGCAGGAAATTACAGAATTTGTCCATTTGTAAATTATGTCCATGTCATTAAAATAAAAATAACATATTTATTATAATCATAACCTTAATGCTTATTATTTAATATAAAGATTTATATAAGTTTCGTTTAATTGCATACAAAAAAATATACAGGTATGAATAGAACAAAACTGTATTATACAGATAACTATCTCATAAAAATAAATACGTAACTTTTTTGTTAAAATTATTTCAATTTTAAATTATCGTAATTGTACAATTGGAAATTTTCCTATCATTCGAAATTATAAAGTGAAGGGTAAAGTTTTAAAATTCATTTATTTTAAAAATCGATATATTTAAATGAAATAACAAAACATGGTTGCAAATTTAGACAAAAAAGACCAAATCAATTAAATGTAATATAAAAATGAATAATTTTAAGAGCATTGTATTTTTGTAAATATACATTTTATTAAACAACTTGAAATTATATGTAAATGGTAAAGTGAGAATTAATAAAAACATGGTTAATATCAATAATTATTCAATCAATCAATCAATAGTTAATTCCCATAATTATTTAACGAAACTGGTTTTATATTGCATATTTTTAAATATTTTATGTACTCCTCTATTAAAAAAATAATAAGTATGAAGAAAAATATGCAAAGCAGTATGATAATCGTAATATTTAAATTACAACTTAAATTATAATATATATATATATATATATATATATATTATATTTTTTTAAAGATAACAACAGTAGAAAATAAAATTCTTATTAAAAAATAATTCTCATTTTTAAATGCTATCAGTCAAAGTAAAGAAATTTGTATTTAGTAAAAATACACAATGAAATTGTTTTTATAAATATTATGAAAAACATGTTAAATTGCATGTCAAAATAAAAATTATTGTTTCAACTTAAATATATGTATATGAATGCAAAAATAAGATTTTTACTACTACTACTACTACTACTACTACTACTACTACTACTACGAAGAAGACTAAACTACAACTACTAATACTAAGACTAAGACTAATACTACTACTACATTGCTTTAAACAAAAACTTGAAACAAATTTGAATTTAATTAAATCTAGTTAATTCATTTCTTATTCTTTATCTTTTCGTTTTTCACACACACAAATAAATGGCTCTCTTGTAACTTTCTCGGCTTGCGTAGAATGCCTACAATGCGCTCAAGAAAATAGAAACAATGGACGGCGTATAGTCGTATATATCGAACAGTTGAACGATGCTATATGAGATCATGCTTCGAAAGAAGAGACGGCGTTTATCGCACCAGTAAAAAAGGATGCAACAAAGTATTAAAATCCGATAAGTGTTGAGTAGCATCATACGAGACTAGAGCCAAGTAATGTCTCCTAATTTGTTGGGTGGCCCCAGTAACCAATCGAAACTCCGCCTATTGGTGAAGCAGCCAAAACAGAATGAAAGAGAAAGGCGTTTGAGATCAAAAAGAAAATCAAAACGAAAAGCTTGTAACTGCAAGATAAACCGGAAACAAGCTCTCTTCCATAAAATCAGAGAATATTAACAATTAATAGAGAAAATGACTAAAAAATATTAAAAAAAAGACTCTTCCAAATACAATCAATGAGTCATTTAACTATATTATTTTTTTCCTTTTATTGAAAATATACGATTATTATATAGTAATTTTAGATTATTAATATTTGTTACTATCAATGCTTCGTGTAAAATTAAAAACATATGGGTAATTGAAATTTTATTTACAGATGAAAATGTAGATAAATTTGATCCAGTATAATTATTAAACCACATAAGTATCTCTTAGAAAAACATTTGGTTTAATCAATTTTATAATTAAAATACAAATCGGATTTTAAAATTATTTATAATTAAATGTGCAATATGTATAGTAATTCTTATGAAATTACATGTATATTTTTATAATGATTTCTGATTTGAATTTTTTAATACTGTATATGTACTGAATATGTTTGTGTGCAATTATAAAAATTAATATGTCATATATAAGAAACACAAATATATTAGCTTATTAAATTACATGAAATTTATTAATAAAACATATAATAATATTTCGTACTACTATAAAAGTACTATAGCATTGAATTAATAAAGATATGTCGAATACGGCATTTAAAAGAAAATTTTTCTATAATTGTAAGTGTATTGAAAGCGGTATAATAACTTGAATATATAAAAATTCATATTATTTATATTTATATTAATATAATGAAATATTATAGATTTTATTATATTAACAAATCTTATAATTATTATAAAATTTCACATTTATATAAATGAAAAAATTTAATAATATAAGATAAAAGTAATGAATGAGATGTGAAATAAAAAGAGATATCATAGAAAAATAAGAGATAGTGAGCAATAAAAAGAATTATCCATGCAGGTGTGTTTACTATATAGGAAAACAACAAGCATATTCCGATTTTTTATTATTCCAACATTATAAGTAGAAAATGGATTTGATATTATGGGGATGAAATTTTTAGATCAAAGCACAAGTCTAATTTTTATTGCAACTGTTAAAATTCATTAGATATTTTGTCTTATTTTGTCTTCAAATATTAAATTTCAGCTAGGTGCTGCAGTTTAATGAAAAACATTAATATCTATAATGTAAAAATACCGACATTCAAAATTTGTCAAAACTATCATAGTTCTATATTTATAGAAAAGTAAAATTTTGTTTTCAATAATTTTAATACTATAAATTAATTTTTACATAATTCATAAGAACGAACCTATTATGTTTAATATATAATTATATTCAATATAAATAAGATTTTAAATATGCTATATGAAATATTGCATAAATTATAGCAAAAATGTATTATACAATAACAACAAATATATTTAATAAATGTCATATTCAATTCCACCAATCCTTACATAATCTATTTATTATTCAGACTATACTAAATCCTGATTTCCTGATCAATCATGGAATGGGCACAAAATCCATTAAAAATGCTACATTTAAATAAAGCAAAATGTATTTTATTATTTTATTCACGTTAAAAAATAAAGAGTAATACAGATGAGTTTTACTACTCACTACAAAGTTCTGAATACGCTATCCAGCCATTTCGTATAAGTCCTCATCCGTACTCGACTCCCCGTACCCAGTATATAAATTGATCGAGGGAAGGAGATCCGCCGACGCACAAGTGCTACTCCGCCCACGCTGAATCAGCCTCTCTTCTGAAGCAAGGGTCTAGCGCGTGTGGCATCACCGCGTAGGTGGTGCCTAAAGAAACTCCTCCTTTGTTCGTGCTTGTGAACAGAAGGGGGAGTTTCCCAGGGCAAGAGAGGCACAGGAGAGAATGATGAAATGATGATAAGGGTCCTCAACTAGTCTCAAAAGAGCTCTCTCTGCAGCCTCTTCATCTCTTTTTAACGTCATACCACTCCCTTTTCTCTCTTTCACATTTTTCATAAAATAAGAAATGAGAATTCGGAAACTTTTACCAATGGTATCGAAGTGCAGATGTGGATTATTACTATATAACTAAATATAGAGGTGCCTACATGATCCAGACATCAGTGAAGGAAAAAGAGGTTTTCGAAATTGATATTTGACTGTCGTCGGTTGATTACTATTTCTCTCGACTTTCATTTCTTGTCTTCTTTCTATTATTCCTCTGGCCAATAGTATCAGTATATCACCACCGTGAAAATATAGAACCGCATTAGTTCTAAACTCAAGCGTATTAAAGTATTTACAGACTTATATGAATGATTGATCTTCACTTATGAAAAGTTTGCAAATAACAAAAAACTATATAATATAAGATCAAGACTAATGAGGATGGCGTTATCAAAAACCCGCTACGAATTTCAAAATCGCAGCTGACGATTTACTTACTATTAGGATTCGCAGATTATAAGCGAATCAAAAGAAAATGCAGGAACAACACGAGCAGCGCCACGAAACGTTAGGCGATTGCTGCTACCAGCAATGGATTAGTCACCACCATCATCAACTTCAGCAATCACAAACAGAACCGCAAACGCAGATTACTAGCATTCCATCACCGATGCAACAAATGGAAGGTACAGACATAAATATGTAATTATTTTAACAAACATTTATTTATCGATGATCTTATCTGTACTTACAAGATATGTTTTAATATATTGCTGGTGGTATCATGTATTTACTTCGTCGATGATGTTAGTTAATTTTTATTATAATATATTGTTTAAACAGATTAAAAATTTTAATATAAGAACGATTACAGGCAAGATTGAATGAAAATAATTTTGTGCATCTTATTATTTGAAATCGACTTTATATAATTACTTATTTAAAAATTGATTGATTATTTCTTATAATTAAGAGAAAATTTATTAATTCTTTAAATTTAAATTTTACTTCATTAAATAAAGTGCTTTTTAACCTGCCAATATTTTCAATCCTTAATTTAAGGCAATTTTAGTTTTTGTTAATGTAATTCAAAACTTTAAACATATATGGATAAATATATTTCATAATAAAAAACAATTATAACTTTTATAATATATACTGTAAAAATACTATAAAATATACAAACAAGGTAAACAGTTTGTTTATAAAAATGGCTATTTTATTTCAAGTACATCTCGAGTATATAATATAAAATTTAGAAAATCAAAGTAATAGTAAATATTAATAAAATTGGTATTTTTACTACTTCGATTAATAAAAATACATTCATCATAACTACTTACGTGTAATATACTTACATGATACTTACATGTAAATCGTCGATTCCTATGAAATAATGTATAATGCACAGTATATCTATAATATATTTTAATAAATAATTAAAAATATATTTTAATGGTGACATTTATATATATAACAAAGTGAATATGAATAATAAATGTGAAAAAAACTTTTGAGATAAAATAAATAAAATTTAATCAAATTTTAATCAAATGTACGTCTTATAATTATAAATGAAATTATTGTAATAATTTTAAATTCAGTAAAAATAATATAATATAAATACAATTTAATCAATTTTGTATAGTTAATCGTTCTTTAATATTTAAAAGTGAAAATTATTTTATATATTTCATAATTCAGAAATAAAATATTCAAATTTATAAAATAATGGTTTAATACTTTATAATTTATTGATCGATTTTTGTTTAAGTTAATAAATCCAATAATGAATTGAAAGTATGATTTTAATAAATAATGTATAATAGGATGAAATAAATGTTTTTGGAAAATGAGAAAAATATATTGCACTAGCCAAATATTGATATTTTTTATAAATAATTTAATGGTGTTAATTTAATTTATTCATTTAGTTTAAAAGATCTTTTTTACGTATTACTAAAAATACTTGTTTTCGATGAATAAATACTTTTTTAATTTCAAATGATTGAAATAGAAATTTGCGTTAAAAGACCTATCTCTACTGTACGCTCGGCAAAACAGTCGAATGGCCATACGTACGCTAGCACTTTGTTTTTCCTTTGCCTCAACTCGAAGTCAAATCCTTTGCTGCCAAGTCTAACTCGAGCTGTCCGTATTCTCGACTATACGTAGCTCTCTTCTTTTAGCCGACCGAGTTCCATAAAATTCGCATGCATCCTGACCATTTCGCTCGTCCCCTCCCTTCGCCTAACAGAAATCGTCATTCAAACAAAATTCTTAATTCAATTTTTATTAATCCTTTATATTTTATCCTATTATTTTTTTGCTTTGCTTTTTACTGCTTTTAATTCTTATATTTCTATGTTTGACAATATTTTTTAAGTACAATTTCATATTTCCGAGTTTCTAAACTGCATGAGCGGTAATAAAGTTTTAATAAATCATTTTAATAAATTTTACAATAATATAGTTAGTTATGAAAATATACTAGAATAAGATAATTTATTTCTATTATTTAAATTTATATATATATATATGTATATATATATATATATATATATATATATAAATCTCCAAATAATAATATTTGGATAAAATTCGGATAAAATTTCAATATAATTTAAAATATCAAAATAAAGAATCATATATAATAAACATATTTCAATTTAACAACTTTCAAAATAAAAAAGAATATAATAACAACTCATATTAAGCTGTATAGTTCATAGGATATTCTATCTAATATTCTATTGAATACATAAACTCTGAATTAATGCATAAAAGCAACTTTACAAAACATTCTAATTAATAAACATATTATATTTTATTGTTAAACTATTATACCTAAATTTTGGTATGAATTTATTTAATATATAATTATAATTATATTATTATTAATTTGTATTAATGAGCATATAGGTTATGGAAAATTAAATAATATTAAAACGCGTGACTGAATTTTTTAATTTCATTAAATTTTTTAATACGCAGTAGGCAATGATTAAATACCAAGATGTTTATTTTATTTTGAATTATCTAAGTATACATTGAAACAATTCGTCACTTACAAAGAATTACTATTTTTCTTCTACCACAAGTGTCGCGACTTTTACAGTATAGACAGACGCCTTTAGCATTCCACACGATATAAAAATGGACTTCAGCAATGAAGAATTTGACGAGGCTGCAATTTATCCAACAAACATTTTACTTTCTCGCTTTTCTTATACAACTTTGTAGATTTTATTTTTATTTTTTGAGCTGATTTTCTTTTTTCTGTTTATTTCTTGCAACGTTTTTTTCAATCAAATGAGGTTGTGGCCTGGATGAATGAGATCATTCACCTCTATACTAAGTTCGTAAATTGGATTCATTATAACTGCTATTTAAGTTACATCGGTCTTGATTTAATTTATATTCACTTTATTTATACAATGATATATTAAAGTCTATTGTAACTTAAGTAATATTTTCATATAATAATCAAGTGCAATTATAAATGTAATCACAACTAATACATGAAAATTTAAATACATTAAAGATGTTCTTTATAATATATTTACAAATATATACGTACTGTATATACACATATTGTTAATTTTAAAGTACATAATTTTATTCTAATTGAATAAGAATTATGAATTATCACGAGCTATTATATTATATGAATTATTTATAAATGCGATTAAAATTACGGGTTGTATTATTCAGTTAACAAATACTTATATTAATTGATAAAACTTTATAAAAAATTATATATATCTGGTTAGAGTTTAAAACCTAAACATATATCTGTCAAACTAATAAAATTAGAATTTTTTATGAATAATATCTTTTATAGTAACACATAAGAAATAGTTTTAGTAACATTAACAAAAACTTTTTCGCAACTTATAATTAATATTATATTATATTTCTTTTAATTACATTTTCATTTCGATTCCTATTATTAATTGAAAAACAATTAAATGATTTATTAAATTAAAATTACAATCTTAATATGTGAAAATATATCTTATATGAATTATATGGTGTGGAATCATACATTACAAAATAATAACTATTTCTTACCGAAAAAAAATGTTATGATTAATTTTTGAAAGATATAATCTATAAGATATAATTTTTAACAGAAAAAAAATTTATTTGACTATATTAATTAGATATAAAATCTGTAGTAAAATGAATAATTGCGAAAGTATAAAAATGTTTAATTAACAATTACATATAAAAACTATTATAAAAATATAAAGTATTTTAATTTATTTATTTATTTTTATTTTAATTTAATATTAATGTTAATGTTTTAATTTAATACTAATATGGATATTTATTATTTATTTTATAAGAAGTTTGGTTTTATGATAAATAATTATTTAATGTTAATTTAATAGAATAATTAATGCATAAGAAATAAGAATAGAATTTTATAAGTAATTAAATTTCATTTTATATTTACTTTGTTATATTTTTTGTTATATGCACAATAAATTATTTATGTTATTTACTGTATTAAATCTGTAGTATTATATTAAATTTTTTAATGCACGAACCATATACTTTGAATAATGTCAATTAAAAAATAGAAATTGAAATAAATATTTAAAAATTATAAAAATGTATATATTAATGTATTTATGTAACAAAATTATACATATGTACAACAAATATTTATTTAAATATTGTTATTTATTTAATATATAATATTATGTAATAGTAATAATAATATATTATTATACTATTAGAAATAAATTGAAATGATGATAAAATATTTTAGTCTTCAATAAGAGAAAAGGTTAAAAGAAATTTTTTGCGATTTATGTGATCCACAGACTTTCATCAATTGTTCAGATTTATGTACACACTGTATAATGTATTAATAATTTCAATTTCTTAAAAGTATTTGTCCTATGCTGAAGCCTGTCTTCAGACAGCAAGCAACAATGTTAAACAGCCACCATCTCCAAGTCTCGCAGACACCGAGGGCATCGACCACCCGTCCGAAAACATCTTGGTAGAAAGTGTTGGGAACAACGACAGCAATAACAACATGCGCAACGAAGAAAGTAACGATATTGGCGATGAATCTGTTCAAACAAAAAGGCCGCTTCACCAAGCACTTGTCGGTGCCGGTGCTGCTCTCGAAGCAAGGCCACTTTGGGAAGAGTTCCACCAACTTGGCACCGAAATGATCGTCACAAAAGCAGGCAGACGCATGTTTCCCACCTTTCAGGTATAAAATATTTTATTTACGCTGTCACAAAAAACAATTTGATTATACAACTTTTAAACAGGTCGATAAATGTAGCAAGTTAAAGAAACTGAAGAAATAAAGAAGTAATATTAATAAATATTGTTTTCTTCCGAGCTTTGGTTATTATAAGAATTTATGAATACCTGGGTATTTATCTTCTATTTGGAAAAAAAATTAAAATGATAATCGCCTTAATTTTATTTTTTTTTTAATAAATAAATTTATTTAATCTTAAAAAATTACAAACTTTCGAAATATTATAATAGAAAATAATTATTTTTCATTTATTATTTAAATTATTCAAATATAAAAATATTTTAATTCAATATATGTAAATTAACCCTCTAACAATTATATCTTGAAATAAAATGAAAATCAATGTATATGGTTCATTTCAATAGTTCATTATATTAAACATTAGTTTAAAAATTCCATTCTAATATATTAATGGACTTTAAATTCAAAAAACATAAGCATTGAATATTTTTTATATTCATAATATGCTAACATTAATATTTTTATATAGATAGTTTAAGAAACTTTGGTTGTAAGATAATTTCATTCAGTAAAATAAATATATTACTATGAAATATTGTAATTTAAATACAACCTATAATTTATGGTGGCTTGAAATATAATCGCTAATAGATATCAAATAATTGTTACAAATCACTATTTATGCCTATTTTTATACTTTATTAGGTTCCTATTAAATAGAAATATTTATATACCTAAAAAAAATTTTCTATGTTTAAAGCAGAATTTATTTGTGTTACAGTGTCGACTATTTGGCCTCGAACCAAACACGGAGTATCTGCTGGTGATGGACTTTGTACCTTGTGATGACAAACGTTATAGATATGCATTTCATAGCAGTGCATGGGTCGTAGCTGGTCGTGCTGATCCTGTTTCGCCTCCAAGGATCCACGTGCATCCTGATAGTCCAGCAAACGGTACTCATTGGATGAAACAACCTGTTTCTTTTGATAAACTTAAGCTTACCAACAATCAGCTGGATGATAATGGACATGTGAGATTAATTTTCATTGCACAATATACTTTCATTAATAGTATAAAGCTATAACTTTTCATTTCTGAAACTTATACTTTTATTAATTGTAATGCAAAATCAAATAAAATTTCATTTATGAATCAAATAAAAGTGGATATGAATAGAAAAAGGTTTGAATAGCATAATAAATTTATGTTAATATATTTATTTAAATTTAATTAAAGCAGAAGTTTAAAATTGAAAAAGATAATAACAAATGTTCGAAACCAGGTATGAACTTAAATTTGTTTTGTCTTTCTACATGCATAGTAATTAAATACGTAATAACGTATAATGTAAAAAGTGATATAATTGTTGCTTACTTTTATATAATTCATAAAACTGAAAAACTGTAAATAAATAAGTATAATATGAATTGATAATTTATTTATGCTTTTAAATTAGACATAATATGAATAATAGGAAAGATTTACTTACAAAATGTCTATAGGATTAAGGGACATTAAAGTGTATAAAATCCTAATTTATTATTTTAACCACATCTTATATTATAATATATATCTAATAAATATGCATATATAATATACATATATATTAAACATAATAAAAAATTATATATATAATTACTGATAATACAGTAAACATTGTTCACACTGTTGGTAATGAATGCAATATAAATGCTGAATAATTACTTTCTGTATAAAAAGAATTTTTACATAATATACACATTCAAATTTCTTTACAAAATTTCAGACTTAGAATTACATATTCCTATTAGGGCGAGACGGACATGAAATTTATTCGGATTGTAAATTTTATCTTTTAATAGAGTTTTCTTACTCCCTCCATTCGCTCCACACTTTTGTTCTTCTTTTTGATCTCCGTCTCTCTCTCTCTCTCTCTCTCTCTCTCTCTCTCTCTCGCTGATAGAACATATATTTAAATAAAGTTTAATGTGAAATGCAACAAAAGAATACAAACTGACAGCAAAGATCTAGAAGACCCCATGTGTTAGTCGTTTCGGACGAGTTCTCCTTAATTGACCTGAGATATGAGCAACATCTCAGTGTATTCCCAAAGAATTATTAGATCATTATAGATATCCATATATTAAAATTCAAGAAAAAGCAAAAATACTTCTACGTTAGAAATAACATATACTGCTATAGAACCTTAAAATTTGTTAATTGGTTATGCAAAATAAAAATAATTCCTTAAACTAAACTACATAATTATATGTGATTTAGTAACTGGTCAAAGCTAAAAAGAATTTTAAATAATATAAATTACGAAAAGAAAAATTTAATTTTTATATTTAAAGAATTAATATACCTAAAAAATAAATTAACTCTTTGACTATGTGTTTAATATATATTTCATTTTAAAGTAAAAATAATATTGATAAATTATTAAAAATATGTCAGAGCAAATATAATAAAATGCCACATTACGAACTACATTATTTACTATTACCGTTACATGCTTAAATATATTATGTAAAGTGTATAAGACCTTTCAAAGAATTTGTTAATATAAATAAATATTTGAAATGTAAAAAACATTGTAAAAAAATGTGAAAAACATTTATTTAATTTTTTATAAATTAAATATAATATTTATAAATTATATACGTAACTTATAATAATACAATACAACATAAATAATCGTAGAACTTGTATAAATACTCATACTTATTAAATATGACAGTCTTAATTTAAAATTACTAATATAAAATAGTTTATTCTTAAAATAAAATATATCAATAATAATATACAATTAAAACGAATTAAGTATTTAATAATTTTTTAAATATAAAAATTAATTACGCTTACTAAAAGTACTGTATGCTATAATTTTATTTGTAAATTAAACACAGCTTATTTTATGTTATTTCATGCTCATTATAATTTTCTAAAGGAAAAATTAAAAATTCTTTTATTTTTTTCAATTACAATTTTATATTAAAATTTTCTCACTATTAGTTGGCACTTTAACCTGTTTACTGTATTTTTTACTGCAATTTATTCATAACTTTTTTTAAATGATAATCTTTGCTATTTAGAAAATAAATTTTTAATTTGTTGGATTTTATTAATTTTGATTATGTATTATTCATTTAATGAGCTAATTTAACTAATTTTTATTCCACCCTGTTTTTTTATGTAAACTTATTAATATATGCGACCTTGCTGTATGCAAATTATTATGTAATATTAGATGTTTTCTTAATTTTTTTCTTTTGTATAGTTGAAATATCTATATTAAAATCAATATTTATTTATAGCAAAAACCAATTATATTTTACTATTTTTCTTTTTTAAGAATAATAAAATTATACAAATAAAATCAATTCAAATTTCAATTTGTAGTATAAAAATTATTATAGCATGCGACTGTAATGTACTAATTCATAACCCTATAATGTTTAATGTTAAATATTTATGTATAAGTTAAAATACAAATGTTCTATACAACTTTCATAGAATTTTTATAATATTAAAATTTTTTATTACACTGTAATAAATTGCAATTTATAAAATTTCTATTTTTAAATAAATTATGAATAATTTTATTTATTATAATATCTAAAAATATAAACATATTATAATAGCATTTCATTCAACATATAAATTCGTGAGTTTTCAAAAATTTTCAATGATTTTAGAATGTTATGTGTTTATTGTTATTCTTTTTGTATAAATATAGGTATTCATTAAAAATAAAAATTTATTTTTTATATTAATTATTATATTTACTAAATTTATGTATTATATTTAGTTGATATATTTATTTGTTATATTTATTTGTTAAATTTATTATATTTAATCAAAATGAAGTCTACTGTATGTATGTTATATATGTTATATATTATGTCATAATATAATTTTACATAATATATCATTATATAAACAAGACATTAAATAAGATATTAACATTTAATAGTTTTAAATATATTTATCATTATAAACTAGATATAAATACATAAAATTAACTCACTATAAATAATGTTTCAATATACATTAATGTTTTTATTAGTTTATTCAATTATTATACAATGGTTATCTAAAGTAGAAATTGAATATTTATATATAATTTTGATATATTGTTTATCATTGTAACATAATACTTGAAAAATAATATTCAAAATTAAACTCGATCTTATAAATTTATTGCAAATTTATTTACTATAAAAATGAATTGTTTACAGAGATGCAGGAATAATAAATAACTAATAACAAGTCCTTTATTTTTATTTTAAAGTTTATAATTTTAAAGCGTTCGTACTTTTTCAATTTTATTTCACATGCATGTTTACATTGTAAATAAATGAATTCAACTGAATTAACAGAAGTAATAAATAGAATAAGCTGTTCTAACCATTATATGAGTAGAAAGTATTCGGAGAGAAAATAATATATATAAAAATGTTACTCTAAAGGGTACAAAGAACGGAATTCTCGTAACTATGTTCTTTGTTTTAATCGCGTATTAAGACCACACACTAGCGTTGTTCCCTAATTACCAAAGTAATTACAATTTTTGTACTGAACTAAAAGCAAGAAAAGACGATAAGTGATAGAATAAGAAAAAAAATATTATAGTGGGTGAAAGAGTAACAAATAATGAAAGACATTGTGTCGTTAATGACATTTTGATTATGTTGTACATAACTTAATATAGAAAGCGGAACAATTTTTGGAAAGTTTTATAAAAAAATCTGCAACAAAGTAATATAATATATAATTTTATATAATAACTTGTACATAGCTGTTATTTGACAAGTACATGTGTATTACATGATTTGAATTGAAAAATTGTTTTATATAAATAATTTGCAAAATTTACTTTTACAAATTATTGGATTTTTGAAAGCAAGAAAATATTTAAATTGGTTTTTAGATTAGTATTTTTCTTTAATAAAACAATTCACAAATATAATATTTGTATAATTCTCTTAGATACTTTTTTTTTCAAGATCAGGAACACACGTCTTCTCTCGTAAATGTTCGTTAGAAGGATTTGTGCTTGGATGCATCCAAGCGTTTCAGGGGCGGTGTCACGTTGCTACTACTACCCAAATAAGAAATAGCAAAGGGTCGAGAAACGCACTTTTTATACTAATTAGTCACCGCTTCTTCTTTAACTGTCAAACATCTTAATCATTACCCTCACAATTTCGAGTTTTATTTCTTGTTATTAAATAATATTTTCTATCTCTGTATATGGTCAGATAAAACTTGTATAAGTTTTCAAAAAACATGTTTTTTATTATTGCCTTACCTCTTATTGTAAGACATTGTTTGTATGATTTATAAATTTGAAGAGCGAAAGAGTTGTTATTCAGTCTTCTCCTGCAAATTGCGAATGAAGTTTTGTTCCAATTAACACTTTACAAGGGAACGATAAAAAAAATCAGTTATATCAAAAAGTTACATACAACTTTTTGTTTCATAAATATTAAAAGCTTTTATAGTGCACAATTTTGCATGTCATATTACATATTTTATTATTTTATTTAGTTTATTATATATTTATTATATATTATTATTATTAAATATTAATACATATTACATATTACATATATAAATCAATCTATCTTTCTAAAATTTTTATATAAATATAAAAAATACAAATAAAAAATACTATAAGAATTTATAACTTTTATTTCGATATATTCGTTACGGCATGAAATCAAAAATTATATAAACACGTGACGTTTCAATACATTGCAAGTAAAAATGGAATTGCTCTTTTTTAACTTAATTAAAACATATACATTCGTATGAGAACAACGTTTAGAAAAATTAATTTGTAAGCGTCTATTTTTTAGTTTCCCATAAATAAATACGGATAAGATATATACATTGAAGAATGGTATTATTTGTTAGTAAACAATTTTTTATATATATAGTAAATCAATAAATATTTGTAAAAGAACAAATTGAATAAATCATCTTTTCAAGAACTACGTTTTAATTTCATTATATACCGTCTAGAAATAAATATAATACAAACGGATGGAATTTTTTTCATCCGTCTCGAATGTAGATTCTTGTCATCGCTATGTGTGTGCATTACAGATTATTCTCTTTCCGTACATAAGGGATGTCATCTAGCATATATTCGAGGTTCAGCTCGTTCCTCTTATTATTCGTCATCGTCTTTCCTCTCGCACGACGATAAATCTGCTCCTGTTACTTCTCGTTCTCAATTCCAGATGTGCCAGTGTAAAACCTTAGGGGCCGTTGTTCCGTATTTCTTCTTTTATATCCTCTTGCATATGTATGACCGAACTTCGACTCAAGCTCAAGGTGAAAGGACGACCGCGAAATTTTGAAGCTGTTTTTTTCCACGTATAATATGTGTCTTCTCGGATGTGCAGATCGTTAAATTTTAGGCCGTATGACGCGTTTAAACATAAAGTTTATATTCATGCTTCAGTTTCCAGAGAGATATTTCCTTTCCGTGAGTTGCAGGTTTATTTATTAAAAATATTAAATAAGAAATACGAAATAAAAAGCATTTTATATTTTATTACTACAAGAGAATTATACTAGAAGTTTTATGAAATTGAATTATCTTTTTTAAATACTGCTTATTGTATCTTATGTATGCTTAGTATTTTCAAGTTATGCTGATTTATATTTTATATTCACAGATACAATTTCATACTTTTTCTATTGTATAAAAATTACATATAATTTTTAAAGAATCTTGAAGTTTGAAAATTCTGATTTAATATAATGAATAAATATATATACAATATAATAATAAAGAATTATATTAAAAGAATTTTTAATCAAATTATAACAAATTACGATTTAAATGACTTTAAAAATTATTTTTCTAATTAATAAAGAAATTATTAAATTCATTTGTAACACATTATAAAAAGAAAACTAAATAAAAATGAAGTGTCCAACTTTTATACATGAAATAATTCAGACTATACTTAAGATGTCTATCTGTTCAGTTCTTATTTTTATTTTAATATATAAAAAATATGAACATAATAGGTAGTGTTTATAACCCATTAAATTCTTAAAAGATTATTATGTCTTATTGCCGTTATTTGTGAAATGCTTCATGTTTATACAAATTTTATAATCAATATTTTTAATTTTATAATTAAGACACTTATTATTAATAAATAATAAGTGTCTTAACGCTGAAATTAGCAATGCATTTCTGATTGACTTTATTACTATATTATCAATATCGTACTTTTATATTTATGGAAAAAGTATATATCTAATTAATGATATTAACTAAACACATTTATGTTTGTAATTTATCTTTTAGATTATTTTGAACTCGATGCATCGTTACCAGCCTCGCTGTCACGTTGTGGTAGCTCCTTCACCACCTGGCTCACTGCCAGATCCTCGGATCGAAAACTTCAAAAGCTTTTCGTTTTTAGAAACACGTTTCACTGCTGTTACGGCTTACCAAAATCACCGTATAACTCAACTTAAAATCGCAAGTAATCCTTTTGCAAAGGGCTTCCGTGACTGCGAACCCGATGATTGTGATACATCGAACGCTGCCTCAGCTGGCGTACAAAACTCAGCCAAGAGATCAACTCCATCCGAGGGAGTTTCTTACTCCACAAATGGTGTACCGTTATTTCAAGGGCTCACGACTCAGGAGCAGCACCATCAGTTTTATGTAACATCACCCTCCGGACCCTGGTCCTATCCTGGACATCAGTCGGGACCTACACCTCATTACTCTGGCAATCATGCACCACCGCTCTATGGGCCACGGTAGAAGAACGATTTTCTACAAAATAAAAAAACTCATTTAGTATATAGAGAAAGACTTATTTAGTTTTAATAACATTTACTTCGTATGAAAAGTAGAAAACAATTTATAAAATAAGATTTAAGACGTGTTCTTGTAATGGTAGAATTCACTTTAATTTTATTCACATTAATACTTAACTCATTTATTTATTGAAAAAAAAAATCATTAAATATTAATCACATAATTTTATGTGATCAAGTTTATTATAGCTAATAAATTAATACATGCGTGTAAATTACTCAATTTTTATAAATATACATTAACCAAATTTTTATAGTTTGTCTTTAAATTACTTAATTTTTAAAATGTTTAATTATAACAAAGTAAATTTTTATAAATAAAAAAATATCATTAATTTCATATTCTAATTATTAATTCGTAAAATAGAATGATTTTTTGTAAATAATTGTTCAATTCGAATTAAAAAAAGTAGTTTTGATAAATACTAAAATTAAAAACTGATCCATTATATTTAATATTTTAATTGAATTATTTTTAGACATTCAAATATTATTAATTTGGTTACAAAACTCATCTTTTCAAAATTTTTATTGCTCATATTTTTTGTGGCCCTTTTTTAAATTATATTTTTTTAAAAGAATGAAAATTTTTATTCTATTTTTTTTTATAAAAAATAATTTACAGTGACATAATTTAATATATTTTCTTCAATTATATTATTTATTTAATTACTTAAAATTAATAGTGAATTTATTTTTCTAGTAACATGTAAATATTTTTCTTAATTTGTCAAAAATTTATACAAAATTTATGAAACTGTTAATACATTAAATAATTAATAATTGAAGCCCTACTTTCCAATTGCGGTATAATAAATATTAATATAGTAATGTTACGCATATTATAATAAATAAAATATTATTTATTTAATATTTGAATTACATTTCCCTTTTTTAATTCATTTTGTATTTATTAAAAGTTGACGTACCAATGTTAGTTATCAAGCAATACTTTTTTATTTTAATAATTAAACAATTATATTTGTCATTAATAAATCGTAATTATTCATATTATTTAGTAAATTTAACGGATTTAGTTATATATTTTGTTAATTATTAGCTAATTAAGATTACTATTATATTTCATATTGTAAAATTTTATATTTTCATTAATTAGCTGAAATAGGTTTTATTAATTAAACTTCATGCTGCTTAAGGTTTCTGTTGAAAATAAAAGTTGTCAAAATTTATATATTATTATTTTTCATAGAAATACATAAAAAATATATTGATTTTTTCATATAATTTTTTATGAATGTACTATGATTGATCAAATAATTTGATGTTATCGTGTAATATATTAGTTTAATATTGAATGTCAATATTAATGTTCTCCAAAAATTTAAATAAATCAATTATTCAAAACACAAATATTAAGCTTCACCTAATGTGTTTACTTATGAATATTAATTTTTTAACATGCTTAGTTAAAACGATTAATATGGGTGATCTGCAATGAATAGTATTTAAATTTATTATGGGTATTTATAAATTTCATTAATATTCTTCTAAATTTATGTAAGCCAATAATTCAATGTTAATATTTTTAAAAGATCGAAGCCTTTTAAAGTACTGATAGTTTAAACGCAAGGGTACTTCAAATTAAACGTATTCAACAAAGCCTCTTTTATAAAAGCAAAATATATCTAATACGTCAGGCGCACATAGTATTTTAAATACTAATAAGAGCCTTAAAAAGGTACGCAAATACGAGCCAAAGAGTAAAAAAGTAACGCGCCATCATAGAAGTGTTTCTTAAGTTAATACGATGCACGCCCTTAACTGTCTTAATAAATTATACCTTGAGTACATGAATGAAGTTGTTTTAAGTTTCGAAAAGCATCTTTCTTGTGATTTTGATGTTTATATATCAAATAAAGTACGTTGAAATTTTCCTCTTTCAGATTGATAGACTTGTCTAGCTCATAAATAACATCCGAAAAGGCACGAATATCAAAGAAAATGAAAAAGTTGGAATAGTTTGAAAATAGCATGGTATATGTCTACATTACGTACTTACATTTATGACAGTTAATACATGTGAAAAAAATTATTCTTTAGTTACTGAATAGTTTTATAAGTTTAAATCAAGTATTAACTTTCTGCTTATCGAATGGTTGATTTGATTTGTATTTGGTATAATTTGTGAAATAAATAAAAGTATATTGTTAAGAACATTACAAGGTTTATCTTCATTTTATTTTAACTTTTAAGTTGTGAATCCAATATTTTTTAATGAAAGTTTTAAATAAATTTTGTTGGTATTGTATTAGTTAGCAATAAAAATAAATTAAAAAATTTAATTTTAACTAATAAAAATACAACATTTAATATAGTAGTAATATTTGAAAATTATTGTTTCAAGCATATGAAATTTTTTATGTAGTTTACTTTAAATAATAGATATTATTAATAGGTATAATATTAATAGGTAATTATTTTATGATTATATTTACACTATCAAATTCATAAAATTAATCATTGTAAGTATTAAAATTATTAAAATTATAAATAAAAAAAAATAATATGAAAACGGAAAAATATATATAAATCAATTTATAAATTTAACAACAATATATAACAATAAATATATTGGCAAAATTGTTACACTATTACAAAATACTAATAATTAATATAATAAAATAATAAAATTAATTTAGAATCTACAAGAAAGGCGTAAACTCGTCTGTCGCCCAATGATCCGAAGTAGAGAAAAAAATGCGAAAAAACTAATTATATGCATAGAGTAAAAGCCGACCATCTTACGCATGTATGGATGGACGACATATCACGTAAATTAACGACTGGTGTCAAATTGTTCGTGTTAAAGTAAGAGTTAACCCATAAGCCTACATTGAGACCTATATTGTGAAGAGCAGATATGCTTATAATATGGGGTACAAACACTTACGACGCACTCATTAATGGATTTTTGTAAGTTCCTAGGCATGTAACTTTTAAGTCGAATTTTAGACGGGCCCATGATTAATGTACTCACGAAAAACGATGCTGTGTAAACATATTAGTGTCTCTCAAACCAAAGCCACTATTTCCTCAACTAGTCGACCCAATGAGGATACACTACGATCTTAATGACTTTCTCTTTCCTCTTATGTATCTGGTTCTTCTTTTTGTATCCCTTTTGTCTTCTATTACTACCTCATTTCTAATTGTTAATTTATTTTTATATAATACTTTTATTTCATTATATATTTAATTAAATTAAAAAGAAATAAAATACGTTTATATTATTTATGTAATGTTTTTAAACGATAAATTTTTAATTAAAATAATTATTTACAACTTTTTGAAAATTAAGTTATTATACCGAAGGAATTTTGTTAGTTTTCACTTGACTTTATATGCATCTCTATTATATCTTTTGTACATCTGCAACCTTTACTTCAATTATGACTTTTGATTTTAATATTTAAATTTATCGATCTTACGTATACTGATCTTAAAGATCTCTAAATTATTAATTATATCATTTATTATAAATAAAACGACTATTAGCGTATACATAATTATATTATTTTTAATAAGCATATAATTTTATTGAAAATCTTATTACCACATGACTTTTATTTAAATTTTTACTGTTTTTACTAAGAATATATATATATATTAATAAAATAAAGTACTTTTTATTAATAACATTTATTCAACCTTGTTAATAAGTTCACATGTTACAATTGTTAAACTTATTAAGATTATATCAATTACTATTCTAATACGAAATATGCAAATACAATACATGTTTATAATTTTTTTGTAAAAATAATTTTCATTAATTTTAATATGAACTTCATCGCACTAATAGTTATAAATTAAATAAAATTATAAACTAATAGTTATAAATAAAAGTTATAAATCAAAAAGTAATAGGTTTGAAGAAATTTATAATTAATTCATAATTAGTGCTAATATAAATCTTATATAATTTTAGTCTTAATTTTTATATTATCAATGTTAAATTATCGCAATTTCAATACATAAATCAAAACTACATACATCTTTAAAGATATAATTTGGAAAAATATTTACAAAATACTATATCGCAATTTTAAATATTAACAATCTATATAACGATTCCCTTAAGAGTAAACAATAAATTTTTTTAAAATCAAAATGTTAAAATGAGAAGATATACTTATTTAATGAAGTCATTCCAGCAGTAGACCATATATATATATATATATATATATATTACGCGCAAGCAATTTCAGTCACAAGCACACGTTTGGTGGTCTTACTAAAATTCTCGTATCGTTATTTGTAACATATACTTCATCAGCCCTCTTCCACATGACCTCTGATTTTTAAATTTAGTTAGAGAATATTATTTTACAAGGAAGTGTTACGAGACAAGACGGTCGTATACGTAGACAGAGAAGTGCATGTGTATATAGAGAACTCGTTACGTCCTTGTTGCATGACCGATGCGGTTGTAAAGTCCACGGATTCTTTCATCTCACGCATTCGAAGGTACTACAGGCTATACCTAAAACAGTTTAAACCTTTCATTAGATAATGGTCGTTGCAAAAATATAGCACTATTTATGAGTCAGAAGTCAAGTCATTTGCTGCTGCTATATCTTTGTTTCTACGAATGACGATTTCAGAGTTAATTTTACGGTTGCGGAATGACACCACCGCCTGTTTTCAGCCTCTTCTTTTTTAACTCTGGCAGACATGTAAAGGCAAATATTTTTACTAAATAAAGGCGTTTGATACAACTGTACAATTTATCTCCGTCGCATAGACCTTAAATGTATAAAAATTGTAGATATTGTACAGATGCTCTCTGTCTTAAACTTATAGATACGCTGGATTATTTACAAATTATTTAAATCACACTTTTCATTTGTAGTTTTTTAATTTATTTAAATTAGCGATTTAATGTATGGTAAATTATACTTGTTTAATTTTACGTATATGTTTAAAATTATAATTAATCATTTGATTATTTATTTCATTCTTATTAAGAATTA